ACCTCCTTCTTCAAGCCCCGCTTCAACTCTGATTTCAAGTCTTTATCACTTCTTGCTGAAAATGTTTTAGAAGATGAACAAGGTCACCGCGACTTACTACACCGCCTTATGCATCAAATTAAAGAACTTGACGTATTAAGTAAAACTTATCACATGAGTATTGACTGAAACTATTTTATTGTGATAGAGAAGACGAAGACTCCACTCCTTATTATGCCTTCGTCAAGCAAAGCCACATTTCATGCTTTAGTCAAAAGCTATTTACCCACATTTTACTTTTCACACTCATATATGATCACATTGAAAAAAGGTTGCGCTCGAAGAGAAGAAGCCTCATAAGCTGCAATGACGGAGATAGCAAAACGAAATATCACGCGTCGCAGATGAGTTGACTTCAATAAAATGAATATTTAATATGCTGAGCACTCAAAAATGCTCAATTTTTTATTACTAGACTTTGCAGGCAACATTTTATCGATAGAAATATATTGCGAGCCGAGGGATCGGGTGATACATACAATCTCAGCGCTACTACAAGCAGGAGGAAGTTCTTCATTTAGCTTTAATCTAAGTTCACAGAAAACGCAAAGAAATTGTATTATAGGAAAATGGTCATTAAGTGATTTGATATTAAAGTAGATTTACTCAATTAACTTTGACTTAAGCTTTATTCATAAATATTATTTAGTATGTGTATTGCAAAGTTGTTTATCAAAATTGATACTCAACATTTGAACCCATTGTGCTTGAGAAATAATTATGTGATAAAAGATTTATCTTAATGTTATAGATTTTATTATACATCAATAAATAAGCCGTCATGAAATCGTAGTATGATGGCGACAGCAACTCATAAAAATAAGTAAAGCATTAGTTGGTATGCAGATGAAATCGATGATTAAATGATATCGTGAAGGTTTACATGTGCTTGTATACAATGCAATTAAGTCTTAAATCGTAATCCCATATTTACAATCAAGTTTCATGATGGTCTCTCAGCTCGTAAGAAATCAGTGAGTGGAAATAAAAGCTGTAACAAACAATCTCGTTTTAGGGAAAATAAACCATCTCGTTGATTAAATCCAATGTCTTGAAAATAGCGAGGGGCTTATTACATGCGAGAAGTAATTGTCTCAAAACCTTATTCGAACCGGATAGATTATCTTACTGCATATTTCCGATTCAGCATTACAATTACAGTGCATATAAAACCGCAGACAAATGTATATAGCTTATAGCAGGTCCCAATCCGTGTGACTCGCTATTCCACTTTTCTCCACCACGCAGTGAATTCTTCTTGAAATTCATGGTCAGAGGATTCCTGCGCGTTTTTTAACTGTAAACTCAAAAGTTAAGCTAAATGATGTGCTTTTCACTACTTGCAGAAGTACTGCGTTTGTAAAAAAGAGGTATTTTATCTTTCTTGGAGAAGCGCAACTTTTGTATGTATCACTCTCGTCGCGCAATAATTTCTACCGAAAAAACGTTGCCTACATACACTGTATAGATTTGAAATTTATGCCTATATGACATCACAAAGACATATTAGCTAATTGATATGTAATTTAAGATTTCGTTTATACTTTCGGTTTCAAACTTTACTCTTATAAAATGTTCTGAAACCTCGTCTCGGAGAGTTTCGATGCTTTTTCTAAATTGTTTGGTGTTCATAAATATCATCGTCAGATTATGAACCCATTATGCTTGCAAAATGCTATACGATAAGAGGCCTGCGTCGATATCGTAGATTTCATTCAGTAACATTGTATTAGCCTTAACTGTCAAAGCATAGTTCGGTATGTATGCAAAGGGAATGAATAAATATTAAAATTAATAATACTGCAACGTCATGTATTTACAAATTATCATCGAAGGCCGTCCTCAGTTTATCAAGATATTTGCGTTTTGTGATACCATGATTTGGTATTTTTATGCAAAATCGCACCATACAATAATACAAACCAATTCGTCGTACCATATTTTAGCAAATTTGAGCATTGACGTACCATATTTTGGTTTGCGTAAGCAATATCATATCAACCCATACTTTGTTACATATCACAGTATAGAATCATTTTTTGAATTATTTGCGTCTTGTGTTTACATGTTTTCGTATTTTTATTCAAATTCGTACCATATTTTCGTTCAAAACATATTATTGTACCATATTTTAACAAATTTGAGCATTGACGTACCATATTTTGGTTTGCGTAAGCAATATCAACCCATACATTGTTACAAATCACAGCATAGTATCATTTTTTGATCTAATTGCGTCTTGTATTTACATGTTTTGGTATTTTTATGAAAATTCGTACCATATTTTCATTCAAAATATATTATCGTTTCATATTTTAACAAAATTGAGCATTGACGTACCATATTTTGGTTTGCGTAAGCAATATCAACCCATACTTTGTTACAAATCACAGAATAGTATCATTTTTTGAATTATTTGCGTCTTGTATTTACATGTTTTGGTATTTTAATGCAAATTCGTATCATAATTTCA